GTAAGAGAGAGTGTTTAATAAAACTGTGAGCATACAACTAATTTGACTGTGTTTAATTAAGGTAGGTGAGAAGGTGAACAAGGTCATCATTTTATTTAAATCTGAGATCAAACCAGTGAATGAGTCCTTTAATTTTGAACCTAAGTACAGGCTATTTATTTTAGTACTGTAAAGACTACATTTTACAATTCAGTTTCATCTCATCCCATTTATTAGAGTTACATTTTAATTAAAGAAAGAGTTAAAGCATGTTTCCTTCACATATTCTACTGACATGTAATCAATAGATTCTCCCTCCTGTTTCACAGTGTGAAAACAAACATGCACACACCGTGTAAACACAATAATGCACACATGATGTCTCATGTTATTTTTTAACCCTTCCTTGCTTTCTCTTTCACAAACACACACACTGACATATTGCGTGGCATGCAGTCTGCTCTTTGAGACTTGGAGACCTGGTGCAGGTAACCCAGGGGACGCATCTTTCCAGTAAGGACACATGGGCTGCATCATCCAGCAGAAGACCAGTCATGTGTTTGCTCACCCAAGTCACATAATGTCTCAGTCCTCCTTTCCCAAAACAACATCCAGTTTTAATTAGTTTCATTCTATTTTGATTAATACATTGTCACTTAAGTTTGAAGATGAAACACATCATGGCTGCAAGCCAAGGAACATCTTCTAGTGCCGAGATGCAGTTTTCCTTCTAGAAAGTGTAGCAACGTTGAGTCTACTACACTAACTTGCCAACACAATTTTAGAAACAAATATCACTGTTGGCCCAGACAAACTCCAACAGGATATTAGGGGGACAACATAGGAAGCAGTAACCAAATAGTACTTATAGGTTTATTGTAAGATTTGCATTTTTGCATATATTTTATACTTTTTTATTCTTTCTCTTAAATGTTGTTTTTAGAATGAAGAATGTTGAGTACAATGGTGTATTTATGCAGCCAGTTATCAGTTTTATGCTGATATTGTAGCTTTGCTAATTTGAGCTAACAAAGCCCACAATTTGGTGGAAATTATGAATTATCTCATTGTTAGTAAGGACAACACAGAAATGAATATCTGTAGAAGTGGCATTCAGTTTGAAGACAAAACACACGCCCCTTACAAAATACAAGCAGTGCTACACCAGCTAAGCCTGTTCTATCATGTCATGCAGGATTTGCGGAGCAATGAGATGGGTCACAGGAGACGTGAGCAAGCAGTGGGAGTAGAGCATTCGGAAATAAACTGAATGTAACTCACGAACCATTCGCAAAAGCCGTCTCAATTTAAACAGTGCGGTGTAGAAGTTCACTTTTTCTTCAGCCGTATAACATATTTTATGTTTAGGGTAGTGCTGTGGAGCCAGAAAGTGTTCACTTTAACAAAAATATGTAATAAATAATCAGATGAATAAGCTGAGTTAATTGTATAAATTAGCCAATAAATTGTAAAGGAATATTTCCTTTCATTTTAACTTCATTACTATTTATTTCATTATTTCCTCACTATATACGTAGGATTGCTTTGACATTGTTGTTGCTCTGGCTAACAAGAGCTCGCTGGCTAACTACAGCAGCTGTTGATGATCCTGCTTGCTGAAAAAGAAAGGAGTGTGTGATTGGCTGAATTGTGATGCTCTGTGATGAAAAGTGTCACTGGGGAAAAATACAGAAATAAAAACAAACTTCTGAAAAGCACCTTAAATAAATAGCAATACAAATGATACAAATGTTTTAATAATTAATGTATTTTACACATTATATACATAAGATTATTCATTTGAATATCTATCAGTACTGCACATTTTGTGCTCTATATTAATGTAGATAAAAATCTACATAGGCTTCATAAATATTAAACATATTATTGGAGAGAAATTGCAAAACAGAGAGTAATAAACACCTGAATTGTTCAATTTAAATAAATGCAATTTCTTTCTCAAATTACCCCCCTCATGTTAGCTACAATTGTGTGAGTAGATGCAATGGGTGCAGTCTCTAAAAATACATTCACCATTTTTGTACCAAACTCAGTATTTTTTTTACTTACATTGAATCTTTTATTTTAACACCACCTTTAGCTTGACTTCCAATATTAAAATATTTAGGACAGCGAACTTCAGAGCAGTCTCTTGCATTTGGCCTCTCAGCACTCAGAGATATCCACTGGACGCTTGTGTTTTAGTTCCCAGCTATGGATTTTCCTTTTTTTCTCTTCTCTGCACTTGTAGTTCAGATAGCACCACTAAGTATCTGGGGTTCACTTGCTTTCTGCAAAGACAGTTAGATCAGGCCAGAGGTCTCGCTGCAGCTTGCCACCTCACATTGGCAATGCTGGCTTCATCCAGAAAGCGACAGGACAAGAGGATTTAGTACAGAGCCACGATGCACCTCTCCTGAGGGGATTATTGGGGCAGTGCTGCTGGAAATGGACCCCCACCACATCTACAGCCAGGGCTGCCCAGTCAGCACACATTTACAATACATGCTCACAAACACATGTGAAAACACACAGTGTATACACATGCGCACAGACAAAAAAGCAAGGCAACTTTTTTCATCTTTCGCATTGACACAACTCTGCTGATAACTTGACCAGTCACCCATACTCTCTCACTGCATGAGGTTGTTCTTATGCTTCATATACACTACATACTCTATTGTATTCTTCCCTGACTGTCCTGTTAAATCAGGCATTCTCCCTTTATCTGTTCCCTCATCTCAATTTCCAAACTATTGCACACCATCATAACCACTTCACGCTCTCTGACTAGAAGAATACAGTCCTTTAACGATCTAATGCAATCCCATACAACCACTATGCCTGGAATGCATAATACAGACTGTTGACTCTGTGTGTGTGTGTGTGTGTGTGTGTGTGTGTGTGCGTGTGTCTGTTCACGTTGCTCAATGTTAGTTTTTGAGGCCATGTTTAGTGCTGGTTTTCACTGGCTTTTATCATATTGAGAGTTGTTTTTGCAATCCCTCCAAACAGAAAAATTAAACTGTCTTAGGTGTCATAAAGGGATTTTATTTACTGTAAGGCTCTTGGTTAAGATTGCTTTGCATAGTTTGGTTGTTAATGTTTTTCTGTCCACATTATACTGTAAGATTTCACTCATCCAGATGTATAGTAGCTGTAGTGTGTATTTACTTGGTTATGGCTAAATAAGTCACAACAAAAACAAAGAAGTGTGTGAGTGTAGAGGTGTTTTCCCTCCTTACCATGGAGCATATTTTCTTGCCAGTGGAAGAACAAGTGCAGTAGTGGGAGTCACACTGGCAATGACTTTTGTGCTACCTGGCTGCTCAGGGTAGGTGAACTATGCACTGCACTGCATTTGACACCTCTATAAAAGCTTATCCAGAATCATATTTTGTATTCATGTATCACTTGCCTGTACACATTAAGTTGCACTAAAATTGTTTTATTCTGATCAGTGAGGCCATAAAAGCAGAGTGAAGGTGAAATACCAGCATCCGTCAATGACAGAATGTGTGAAGGCTTTCCCTGTTGGTCAGTTACGTATCTATGCAGCTGTCTGATTCTGCTATCCTATACAGAAAGTTTTCTATCTGCAGTTCCTACAATAATGTGAGTTGTGCACATTGTCAAACTGTAATCAGGCACAGCAGTTGTGTCATAGTTACTTTGATTAAACACCACCAGGCTGCTGCAAATTAACCACACAAACATCTGGGCTCCTGTTAAAAAAACTGCCCAGTTATACTGTATGTTACATTTCACACAGCTTTCCAGTTTATGCTAGGAGGATGGACAGCATTGATATACTGTATATATAAACAGTTAAGTAATGGAAAGATTTGTTATAATGTTATTATGAGCACTGCTTGCGGGGTTGATGGGAGGAGCTGATGTGATTGATCATGATTGTTACAAGCCACTAAAACATCCAGGCACATTATTTTTTTCATACACATCTATACAGCTTACTGTCAGAATACCAACATATGTTTTGCATCAGACAGAAGTAGACATATTTTGATTAAAGCAGACATTGCCCCATAGTACAAGGAGGTTCTTGCTGTATGTGTGACTAAAGGTTAGTGCAATATAAACACACGCACCAGCATTTGATAGATGTGCAGTATGTTAAAGGGTAAAACTGACTCTCTCCTACTGTTCTCATGAATAAAACACTGGCATGCACATGCACACGTAATACACTCACATCCATTTGCGTAAACACACACAAATCCTATGCAGACATGGGCTCTCACATAGACACATCCCACTTGAATATTGCACGCAGGCACATGCGACAGCTACATACAGTACAGACATACTTGCCCCCACACACATGTCTCAGTGCCAGAGCTCTACATCAGTGCAGCGTGTCAATTAGAGCACTGTTTTTCCTGAGCAGGCACAGCAGATGAAGACTGGCAGACATCTAAGCTCTGAAAATTGCATTAATTGTTGCACTGATGGATTAAAGAAAAGTTGTAGTTTATAATGATAAGACATAAAACAACTCCAGAGTTCAAATTTTACTTAGAAATGTTTGTGTATTTACTTTGTCACTTAGCATACAGTATCTACTGAGGAACAAAAAGATACACATAATCCTATACTTTAGGTCATGTTATATAAGCTAAAGGCAAAATACAGTGGTGTTATTGTCTGTGGGAAAATGGTTGTTCTTTGTTTGTTTTACTCACTGTAGTCATGGAAAATATCAGGGGAAAACATTTGTTCATTACAGCTAAGATATGGTGGAGTTTCTCAGACCTTTAGCTCCATATGCAGTATGTATGGAATGTGGCATACTTTGTATAATATACAAACATAGTGGTGGAACACATTGCTGCTTTTTTTCTGATTGTGATTGAAGTGAGTGTTTATGAGAGTAGCTGTCTGTCACAGATAGCGAGATCTACAATAGAATACTGGTATAACTATTCTGGTGAAAGTCGGGTGAGCTTCACCATTTAACCCCACTACATAACATCTCTTTTTTTTTCTGTGTCTTATTTCAGAAATTTGTTTGCTGACACGAGGCAGAAGGACAGCCAGTGTCCGAGCAGATACTTACTGTCGTCTGTACTCACTGTCTGTGGACAACTTCAATGAGGTGCTGGAGGAATATCCTATGATGAGAAGGGCCTTTGAGACTGTTGCCCTTGACAGGCTGGACCGTATTGGTAAGAAAAGAAAAGAAAGAAAAAGGCAATTTAAGATAGAACTTTTCAGTTGCTTTTATTACT